TGCTGACTTGGACAGAAGTAGCCCTACCCTGTAAATTTTGTTTGTGTGCCAGAAACTTTGTGAAATGTGTGGAGGGCACCATTTCTCTGGCCTGCATATAGAACAGAATTTTGCAGTGATCTGCATAACGAATCTCCACATATCCACATCCTGAAGGTGTTTTTTTTAAAAAAAAAACTGCTGGTTTCCAGTGGAGATCCCACAATGGCCTCTAAATCTCTGAACAAAGCATCAAGTCTGGACAACAGAGGCAAAAATCCTGGGACCAACAGGTCTGTATGTGGACCTCTCCTGACGTCCTGGGATTTTTTGCCCCTCACTAAAAACCCATGATTTAGTGCTGTCTGGAAGCACCCTGTGTTATCTGAGATCACACTGCCATATATTCCAGTTCAAAGCTGAAAATGTGGGATTTTACTCAGCTGTGTGGAAGGGACCTGCGTCCACACTGTCATATATTCCAATTCAAAGCAGATAACGTGGGATTTTCTGTGTTGATATTCTATGTTATATGGCTGTGTGGAAGGGCGCTGACTGTCAAAATCACGCATTCCTTTGTTTACCCTAGAGCTTATGTCAGTCTTGTCAGAAAGCAGACAAGATGTCATGGGTTGAGGGCTACATCAGCTCACATTTGGCCCCTCAACCTACTATCAAATTTGGAAAGAATTGTTAATCAAATTGGCCCAGCACATTCCCAAAGCCTTGCCACATGTTCAACTGTCACTTTCTATTCCAGGAGGTAAAAATGGGGCTGCCTGTCCCAAAATGTATGTGCTGCTCCAGGACTCATGCATACGAGAAGAAAAGGACCAGTGCCTCCAGAAGGGCTTGTGGATCACTTTGGCTATTTTGGCAAATAAATATGGACTCCTTCAAATGTTGGTGCCTGGGAAACACAGAGTAACATTTGTACGGCCATAAAAATTGCAAGGAGATGACGTGTGGCCCACAGGCTGGGTTTTTCCTATACCTAATCTAGACTTTGAGTGACAGCTTTGACATAAGACTGCCACCTACAATAAACCTCTTTGCTATGTGATAGTATTATTTGCTTTTTTGTTGACTTCAGCTTATGGTGACCCTATGAATGATAAGAGCTAGCATGGATTGAGAATTGGACTATGATCCCAAGTTTGACTATAGTTTCAGTTCAATCAATTAACCCATAGTGTGAAGTCTCACTTTTTCTATTGCCTTCAAGCATTATTATTTTCCAACAGGGCCCTTTCCACACAGCTGAATAAAATCCCACATTTTCAGCTTTGAACTGGAATATGTGAACTCAGATATCCCAGTTCAAAGCAGATATTGTAGGATTTTCTGCCTAGATATTCTGTGTTATATGGCTGTGTGGAAAGGCCCCAAGTCACATGCAAGCTACGCGTCTTAAACAAGCTGCAACTTAGATCTCTTTAAACCACTCTATCTCCCACGACTTGCAGAGGAACCATGACTGTTTATCTCATTGCATGTATTAACCCACTCACCTAAGCAAGATTATCTTTATAACCATCCAACCTTTCCTTCTTATATAACATCTTGAGGCACTTCTCCCTGCTTGTATTGTTTGTTAAGATTAAGAAACCTATTCAGTAAAATTGTGCAAGTCACACTCTCAGGGACCTTCCACACAGCCATATAACCCAGAATATCATGGCCGAAAGTCCCACAGTATCTGCTTAGGACTGGGTTATCTGAGTCCACATTCTCATATATTTCAGTTCAAAGCAGAACATGTGGGATTTTGTATTGTCGAAGGCTTTCATGGCCGGAATCACTGGGTTGTTGTAGGTTTTTCGGGCTGTATGACCATGTTCTAGAAGCATTATCTCCTGACGTTTCACTTGCATCTTTGGCAGGCATCCTCAGAGCTTGTGAGGTCTGTTGGAAACTAGGCAAGTGGGGTTTATACAGTATATCAGTGGAATGTCCAATGTGGGAGAAAGAACTCGTCTGCTTGAGGCAAGTGTGAATGTTGCAATTGGCCACCTTGATTAGCACTGAATGGCCTTGCAGCTTCAAAGCCTGGCTGCTTCCTGCCTGGGGGAATCCTTTGTAAGGAGGTGATTAGCTGGACCTGATTGTTTCATGCCTGGAATTCCCGGGTTTTTTTTAGTGTTCCTCTTTATTTACTCTCCTAATTTTAGAGTTTTTAAATACTGGTAGCCAGATTTTGTTCATTTTCATGGTTTCCTCCTTTCTGTTGGAATTGTCCACATGCTGTTATTAAATTGCACATTGAAACTGGGTGATATGGCAGTGTAGGCGAGGCATGGGCAACTTCTACAGGACCCTTCCACACAGGTTTTGAAGTGGGCTATCTGAGTCCACACGGCCATATATCCCAGTTCAAAGCAGATAATGTGGACTGTAGTCTCGTAGGCCAGGCATGGGCAACTTCCACAAGGGCCTTTCCACACAGGTTTTGAAGTGGGCTATCTGAGTCCACACGGCCATATATCCCAGTTCAAAGCAGATAATGTGGACTGTAGTCTCATAGGCCAGGCATGGGCAACTTCCACAAGGGCCTTTCCACACAGGTTTTGAAGTGGGCTATCTGAGTCCACACGGCCATATATCCCAGTTCAAAGCAGATAATGTGGACTGTAGTCTCATAGGTGAGGCATGGGCAACTTCCACAAGGGCCTTTCCACACAGGTTTTGAAGTAGGCTATCTGAGTCTACACGGCCATATATCCCAGTTCAAAGCAGATAATGTGGACTGTAGTCTCATAGGCGAGGCATGGGCAACTTCCACAAGGGCCTTTCCACACAGGTTTTGAAGTGGGCTATCTGAGTCTACACGGCCATATATCCCAGTTCAAAGCAGATAATGTGGACTGTAGTCTCATAGGCCAGGCATGGGCAACTTCCACAAGGGCCTTTCCACACAGGTTTTGAAGTGGGCTATCTGAGTCCACACGGCCATATATCCCAGTTCAAAGCAGATAATGTGGACTGTAGTCTCGTAGGCCAGGCATGGGCAACTTCCACAAGGGCCTTTCCACACAGGTTTTGAAGTGGGCTATCTGAGTCCACACGGCCATATATCCCAGTTCAAAGCAGATAATGTGGACTGTAGTCTCATAGGCCAGGCATGGGCAACTTCCACAAGGGCCTTTCCACACAGGTTTTGAAGTGGGCTATCTGAGTCCACACGGCCATATATCCCAGTTCAAAGCAGATAATGTGGACTGTAGTCTCATAGGCCAGGCATGGGCAACTTCCACAAGGGCCTTTCCACACAGGTTTTGAAGTGGGCTATCTGAGTCCACACGGCCATATATCCCAGTTCAAAGCAGATAATGTGGACTGTAGTCTCATAGGCCAGGCATGGGCAACTTCCACAGGGCCCTTTCACAGATTCATATGCTTTGAAGTGGGTTATCTGAGTCCACATGACCATATACTGTGTCCAATTCAGGGCACCACAATTGAAGAGGGATATTGACAAGCTGGAATGTGTCCAGAGGAGGGCGACTAAAATGATCAAGGGTCTGGAGAACAAGCCCTATGAGGAGCGGCTTAAAGAGCTGGGCATGTTTAGCCTGAAGAAGAGAAGGCTGAGAGGAGACATGATAGCCATGTATAAATACATGAGAGGAAGTCCTAGGGAGCGAACTTGTTTTCTGCTGCCCTGGAGAATAGGACACGGAACAATGGCTTCAAACTACAAGAAAGGAGATTCCATCTGAACATGAGGAAGAACTTCCTGACTGTGAGAGCTGTTCAGCAGTGAAACTCTCTGCCACAGAGTGTGGTGGAGGCTCCTTCTTTGGAAGGTTTTAAACAGAGACTGGATAGCCATCTGTTAGCAGTGCTTTGAATGCAATTTTCCTGCTTCTTGGTAGGGGGTTGGACTGGATGGCCCATGAGGTCTCTTCCAACTCTGATTCTCTATATCCCAGTTCAAAGCAGATAATGTGGGGCTGTAGTCTCATAGGCCAGGCATGGGCAACTTCCACAGGACCCTTCCACACAGGGATATGCTTTGAAGTGGGTTATCTGAGTCCACACGGCCTTGTATCCCAGTGCAAAGCAGATAATGTGGAACTGTATTCTCCTCTGCTTGACTTGTATCCATCCATCCTATTCTTTCTTTCTTTCTGTCCTTCCTTCTTTCTTTCCTTCCTTATCTTTCTTTCTTCCTCCCCTGCCTCCTTCCTTCCTTCTTTCCCTTTTGTCTTTTCTTCTTTCTTCTTCTTCTTCCTCCTTCCTCTTTCTTCTTCCTTCCCTCCATCTTTCTCTCCTCCCTCTTCTTCCTTCCTCCCTCCTTTCTTCATCCCCCTCCTTTCCCTCCCTCCTTCCTCTTCTCCCCTCCTCCTCCTCCTACTCCTCTTCCTCTCCTCCCTCCTCTTCCTCCTCCTCCTCCCCCTCCTCTCTCCTCACAAAACCCCACGTCATAATTCCAAGCCTTCGTTCTCTTTTACAAACTCCCGTAAGCACGCTCAATTATTCTACTATAAAATTCACACAACCGGCGTAAAGCAAGTACCGAAACAGATTAATCAAATCAAAAATCTCCCATACAAACAGACATTCAATGAGCACACCACACTAATGTTAAATTCACTACACTCATTTTCAATTAGTTTCTGGGAAAATGTGCAAAGTGTTGGTTGTTATCTCTAAAACCCTACATGGTTGGTTGTTATCTCTAAAACCGCTTGGTCACCTGTGAAATCACCTTCTCCCATACAATCCTTCCTTCCCCTTCCTTCCTTCCTTCCTCTTTTCCTTCCCTCTCCTTTCCCTTCCCCCTTTCTTTCCTTTTCTTCCTTCCTCCTTTCCCCCTTCTTTCTTCCTTCCTTCCTTCCTTCTCTTCTTTCCCTCTTCCCTTCCTTCCCTTTCTTCCTTTCCTCCTTCCTTCCTTCCTTCCTTCCTTCCTTCCTTCCTTCCTTCCTTCCTTCCTTCCTTCCTTCCTTCCTTCCTTTCCCTTCTTTCCCTTCTTTCTTTCCTTCCTTTTTCGCGCCCCGCCTCTTCCTTCCTTCCCTCCCTTCCCCTCAGAGGCGGGGAAAGAGAGAGAGGGAGGGCGGGACGGAGGCCTGGAGCTGCGCCAGAGGGCAGGCGGGGCGCAGAAGCCGACGCGAAAGCAGGAGCAGAAGAAAGGCCTCTCCTTCTCCCTCTCTCTGTCTCTCTCCCTCCGGCGCCGCGATCGATGGGGGCGGCCCCTCTGCGCTCGGCTTCTCGGCCCTGGAGGAGCCCGACTGGCGACGTGGTGGTGGTGGGGCCGGCCGCCGGGCCCGGGCTGAGGAAGAGCTCCTGAGGGAAGAAGGAGAAAGCAAGCCAGAGACAGAGGAGAATAAAGGCGAAAGAAGGGGAAGGGAAGAAGGAGAGCTGCCCGTTCCCGCCTTCCTTCCTTCCTTCCTCCCTTTTTCCCGGGCGATGGCGCTGCTCCGGGCCCGCGCCTTGTACGACTTCAAGTCGGAGAACCCGGGCGAGATCTCCCTGCGAGAGCACGAGGTGCTGAGCCTGTGCAGCGAGCAGGAGATCGAGGGCTGGCTGGAGGGCGTCAACAGCCGCGGGGACCGAGGCCTCTTCCCGGCCTCCTACGTCCAAGTCCTGAGGGCCCCCGCCGGCCTGGACCCGCCTCCGCCCACCCGCTACGCCAATGTGCCCACGGGGGGCCTTGAACCCGCGCCGGCTTGCACCACCGCACCGCGCCCTCTCCAGCTCCCGCTCCAGTCCGCGGAGCCTTTCCAGTTGCCGCCCCCTCCCGCGCTCTCCTTCCCTCCCTCCTCCTCTTTCCAAACAGCGCCTCCTTATGGCGGGTCTGCGTACCAAACCAGCCAAGGCAGCGACGACGACTGGGACGACGACTGGGACGACAGCTCCACCGTCGCCGACGAGCCCGGCGTCGTCGTCGACCCGCGGCACCTTTCCTACCGCCTCTCCGCCCACTCCGATATGTCGCTGGGCTCGCGAGGGGGGCCGCTCCACCCGCAACCCAAGAGCTCGGCCACTGTGGGACGCAACCTGAACCGCTTCTCCACCTTCGTGAAGTCTGGTGGTGAAGCCTTCGTCTTGGGCGAGGCGTCGGGTTTCGTGAAGGACGGCGACAAGCTGTGCGTGGTGCCGGGCGCCCACGGTCCGGAGTGGCAGGAGAACCCCTACCCGTTCCTGTGCTCCATCGAGGACCCCACCAAGCAGACCAAGTTCAAGGGGATGAAGAGCTACATCGCGTACAAGTTGGTGCCCAGCCACACCGGGCAGCAGGTCCACCGGCGCTACAAGCACTTTGACTGGCTCTACGGGCGTCTAGTGGAGAAGTTCCCCGTCATCTCAGTGCCCCACTTGCCGGAGAAGCAAGCCACAGGGCGCTTCGAGGAGGACTTCATCTCCAAGCGGCGCAAAGGCCTGGCCTGGTGGATGGACCACATGTGCAGCCACCCGGTCCTGGCCCAATGTGACGCCTTCCAGCACTTCCTCACTTGCCCCAGCACCGACGAGAAGGCCTGGAAGCAGGGCAAGCGGAAGGCTGAGAAGGACGAGATGGTGGGCGCCAACTTCTTCCTCACCATCAGTGTCCCTGCGTGTGGCCCGGCGGCCCTGGACCTGCAGGAGGTGGAGAGCAAGGTGGACGGCTTCAAGAGCTTCACCAAGAAGATGGACGAGAGCACCATTCAACTGAACCAGACGGTCAACGAGTTCGCCCGCAAGCAAGTGACGGGCTTCAAGAAGGAGTACCAGAAAGTGGGGCACTCCTTCCGGGGCCTCAGCCAGGCCTTTGAGATGGACCAGCAGGCTTTCTCGGTCGGGCTCAACCAGGCCATTGCCTTCACTGGGGAAGCTTACGATGCTATTGGGGAACTCTTCGCAGACCAACCCAGACAGGACCTGGACCCAGTGATGGATTTGTTAGCTCTGTATCAGGGACATCTCGCCAATTTCCCAGACATAATCCATGTCCAGAAAGGTAACGTAACTAACCATCTGAATGTGCTTTTTTCGCCTGATGTAACTGTTGTGCATGCAAACTGGTCCTCCCTTCGCTTTTTTTTTTTGTCTTGAAGGCTGTTGATAAAACGTTCCAGAAAGTTGCCATGTAATCTCTTACAGCAAAAGCAACACATTTGGTTTATTTGGTCTAAGATTTATTTAGTCTAAGACTGCAGGCCGCTTCCATCAGATTCATTTGATAAAGTGGGCTGCAGTTCACCAAAGTTGAATTTGTTAAGGTGCCACCAAATCAAACAATTATTATGCTCCATAAAAGCCACTATATTTATTGTTGCGAAATGGTGTTTTATGTGCCTTCAGGAGCATATTGCTTTTCGGCCCATTATATTTTACCATCTCTGTGTGTAAACATCTGTAAATAAATGGCTGAAGATATCTATCAGAAGAAGTAGCCTATATACACCAACTTGGGTGTAAATTGTAGTGAGTGTTACTTTGGTGAAGACTGCACTGTTGTCATTTCAAGCATATGCTACTGTAAACCAGTCTATGGGATGGGCAACTGTGGAAAGCTTTGGGCTGTATTAGCCGCGCCCCCCCCCCCAAAAGAGTCCTTGGAGGGCTGCAGACCCCCCAAAACACTAAATATATTCCTCCAAAATGACTTCTGGGAAACATGGGGTCATGCTCAACTTATTTTGGGCCTTCCTGGTTCTCTAAAATAAATAGGAGAGAATTTTAAGGCAACAATAATAGTTGAAAAATGTTTTGATAGCAGTGGGTTCCTCTTCCCCCTTGGAAGTCTTGTAGGGGCATTTTGGAGGTCCTATTTACCCTGGGAGGTAGCCATAGGCCACTATTTATCCACCCCTGCTTTTGAGATGTGCCTAAATAAGGTCTAAAATTCTGAAATGAAATTGAGAATGCATGTTTTGATCTAACAAGGATACCATAACCATTGCTCTCTCTATCAAGAAACTATACCTGCATGACTGTGTGCATGTCAGTGTGTTTACACACACACTATATACATTTACTTCTCGTTTTCCAAGCAAGGGTATAACAAGGTACTACCGTGTGAAATTGAGTATAAGCCAAGTTATTCAAACCTTTTTTTAGGCTGAAAAAGTCCCCCTCATCTTATACTTGAGTCAAAGTTATTTATTATTGTACTCTGTTATTATTATGATTATTACATTTATTATTTTACTCTTTAATATTGTTATTTTATTTACATTTACATTATTTTACTCTATTATTATTTTATTACATTTATTATTTACTCTGGAATCCCTGATGGTGCAGTGGGTTAAACCCTTCTGCCAGCAGGACTGAAAACTGACAGGTTAGAGGTTTGAATCCGGGGAGAGTGTGGATGAGCTCCCTATGTCAGCTCCATCTCCCCATGTGGGGACATGAGAGAAGCCTCCCACAAGGATGGTAAAACATCAAAACACCCTGCCATCCTTGCAGACAGCCAATTCTCTCACACCAGGAGCAACTTGCAGTTTCTCAAGTCACTCCTGACATGAAAAAAATTATCTAGTGTTATTATAATTATTATTTTACACCTTTATTACTACATTTACATTATTTTACTCTATTATTATTTTTATTACATTTATTATTTTACTCTGTTTTTATTATTATTACAGTTATTATTTTACTCTATTATTATTACATTTCCATTATTTACTCTATTATTATTTTATTACATTTATTATTTTACTCTATTATTATTATTGGATAGGTATATAAGCACATTTACATTGAAGAAGGTTAAAATAATGTTTAATCAGAGTTGGACAGTCTCATCTTAAATTACAGTTTTATGTAAATATTCAAAAACATTTAACCTACTGATGCCTCAATTAATGTAATTTTATAAGTATCTATTTTTATTTTGAAATATACCAGTAGATGCTGCATTTCCCACCCTCAGTTTATACTCAAGTCAGTACGTTTTACCAGGGTTTTGTTGTTGTTGTTGTAAAATTCGGTGCCTGGGCTTATATTCAGGTTGGCTTATACTCGAGTATATACGGTATATAGATATAGGGCAGAATTTCAGAAACTATTCTCAGACAGACTCCTTTGAGTCACAGAAATCTGGTGTTTCATATATCTGTCTGTCTATCTATCTATGAAGTGTAAAATAAGTGACAATATGTATTGCATCCTAATATATAAATTAGTTGGTTGATCAACAAAATGAGCAATTTCTGATATTACACAAGATGATAATTTTTTAAGGAAACTGTGCTGTCTTAATATGAAGACTGGCATAATTAACCTTTGCTCCTGTGTGATTGTTGAGGTTATTGTTATCTAAAGTCATCTGATCATACTTACATTCAAATCAGTGGAATTAAGTCATGGCTTACTTAAGCCCTATTGATTTTGTGGTACTTTAATCTAGATCAGTCCTTGTAGTTAATAATTTTTGTTCTTTATCTCTAAAGATATGCTTGCATCTTTGTCATTTCTTCTTATTGATCTAAAATTTCTCTGTGTAGCCTTTCACCCAGTTTGTGTATATGTTGAAAACTACAGAATGGAAATATAATACATTGTAATTAAGAACTGTGTGAAGAGATGTTTGGTTTCACCTGGGCAGGTAAACTAATGAAGCCAGTGGCCATTTTTGCCAATATGTTAGTTTTCTTGGTGTCTTGTTTCCTTTTTCCTTTCTAAGAGCCCTTCCACACAGCCATATAACCCAGAATATCAAGACAGAAAATCCCACAATATCTGCTTTGAACTGGGTTATCTGACATATATCTGACATTATCTGACATATATTCCAGTTCAAAGCAGATAATGTGGGATTTCATTCAGCTGTGTGGAAGGGGCCTAATTAGTTAATATATTTAGGTGAGATGAGAATTGACACTTCTCACTTATTTATTTATCGTGTCAGCAGCAACCAGACATTTGTATTATATTTTTAACAAAAACAAACAGACAAAACACAAAGTTTGCAGGCTTGGTAGTTGATTAAATTTTCTTTGACCAGTCAGTATCTGGCCACTTGGAGTGCCTCTGGTGTTGCTGCAAGGAGGTCCTCCATTGTGCATGTGGCAGGGCTCAGGTTGCATTGCAGCAGGTGGTCAGTGGTTTGCTCTTCTCCACACTCGCATGTTGTGGATTCCACTTTGTAACCCCATTTCTTAAGATTGGCTCTGCATCTCGTGGTGGCAGAGTGCAGTCTGTTCAGCGCCTTTCAAGTCACCCAGTTTTCTGTGTGCCCAGAAAGGAGTCTCTCATTGGGTATCAGCCATTGATTGAGGTTCTGGGTTTGAGCCTGCCACTTTTGGACTCTCGCTTGCTGAGGTGTTCCAGCGAGTGTCTCTGTAGATCTTAGAAAACTATGTCTTGATAAGTCTAAATCAAGACTTCTCACTAAAGTTGTTGAAATAGCCAAGGGGATGGCTGTTTCTGAGACTCCAAGCAGGAAGGGAAGAGCAGGCATGCTCGGCGTATGGCAGCATGGTGCACAAGTGTGGGCAAGGGAGAGTGTGCAAGGCTGGAGGGAGGCTTGCATCCCTTCAAGGCAGGAGAAAAAGCGCTCTTTGATTATAGCTTTACTATAAATCCCAACAACTACAACTACCAAATGAAAAAAATCAATCCTCCCCACCAACCCCACCAGTATTTAAATTTTGGCGTATTGCAGTGGTTCTTAGCCTGGGGGTCCCCAGATGTTTTTGGCCTACAACTCCCAGAAATCCCAGCCAGTTTACCAGCTGTTAGGATTTCTGGGAGTTGAAGGCCAAAAACATCTGGGGACCCCAGGTTGAGAACCACTGGCGTATTGGTTATTTTTGCCCAATTTGATCCATGAATGAAAATACATCTTGTATATCAAATATTTACATTACGATTCATAACAGTAGCGAAGTGGCAACAAAAATAATTTTATGGTTGGGGTCACCACAACATGAGGAACTGTATTAAGAGGTCGCAGCATTCAGAAACTTGAGAACCACTGCTTTAGTGCAGTGGTGTCAAACTTGTGGCTCTCCAGGTGTTTTGGACTCCCGCTCCCAGAATTCCATGATTTGACAACCTAGCCAGGGCTTCTTGGAATTGGAGGCCCAAACATCTGGAGGGCCACAAGTTTGACACTTCTGCTTTAGTGGAAAGCTGTTTAAGTCAGAGTAACAATTTTCCCCTGCCCTCCCCATGCATTTATGGCTCACTGTTATAAACACACACCACTTTAGAGTCTCAGAAACCCTCTTGAGCAAAATGGGATAGAAGGCTGCAGTAGGTGAAGAACAGATGTTTCAGATTAAGTGAGAGAAAACATGTAAGTAAGGCAAAGCCATTACTGAACATAATCCATAGAAACATTTTTCAAATGGTGATAGACATGGGGAGAATATGAATTAAAAGCAATATGAAATATGGGTTGTCGAAGGCTTTCATAGCTGGAATCATTGGGTTGCTGTAAGTTTTCTAGGCTGTATAGCCATGTTCCAAAAGCATTCTCTCCTGATGTTTCTGCCACATCTATGGCAAGCATCCTCAGAGGTTGTGAGGTTTGTTGGAAACTAGACAAGTGAGGTTCATATATCTGTGTAATGTTCAGGGTGAGAGAAAGCACTCTTGTGTGTTGGAGGCAGGTGTGAATGTTGCAATTAGTCATCTTGATTAGCATTGAATAACCTTGCAGCTTCAAGACCTGGCTGATTCCTACCTGGAGGAATCCTTTGTTGGAAGGTGTTAGCTGGCTTTGATTGCCCAGATAACACCTGGAATTCCCCTTGATTAGCTGGCCTTGATTGGCCAACTAATGCCAGGAATTCCCCTGTTTTCAGAGTGTTCTTTATTTACTATCCTGATTTTAGAGGGTTTTAATACTGATAACCAGATTTTGTTCATTTTCATTGTTTCCTCCTTTCTGTTGAAATTGTCCACATAATTATGGATTTCAATTGCTTTTCTGTGCAGTCTGACACAATGGTTGGTAGAGTGGTCCAGCATTTCTGTATTCACAAATTATATACTGTG